CTATTGTTTAAAAGTTTGTTTAAGGTCATAAATAAATTTCTTAAGTTTATAATCTAAATTTTTTTATTTTTCTTTTCTACTAATCCTTATGTTTGTTCCATATAAATTTTCTCATTTATATTTTTATTTAAAAAATTAATTTTCACATTCTAACTTAAGATCATAATAAGTTACTAATGTTAGGATTATTCTTATGAATTTATTTAAAAATTAAAAAAATATCTTGCTATAGTCGATATCATCTTTATGAGTAAAACATTTAGTCACAAGTATAACTTTATACCATTCAATATTATTCTTTGAGTCATATTTAATCTTATCAATTTACAATCAACACTTTTATAATTATTTGATAACTTGATAATTTTTCAAACATTACTTTGATCTATTAATCTTAACTATTCTTTCATTATATCACATCACTTCATAAGATCATTACTTTTAAAAGATTCTCTTAATTTCTATAATCATAAAAAATAATATCTTTTTTTTTTCTGATTTTTGTGCATGTATCATGTAATCGTAAAAAACAATAAATCTTCTTTCTCCTTGAGATTCTTTTCAAGGTTTTTGATTCTTGTATCACAATTTTTTACATATATCACATAATTATCAAACAGTACAAGTTGAAAGTAGTGCATACATGCTTTCGAGGTGTAATCAGTACACTGTAGATGATGTAATCATCAATCTTGTTCTTGAGCGCTAATGAGAAAGGCTGAGATCGACTGAATTCTCTTCCTCCCCCACTTTGTTCATCTCCTTCTGATCTCTTCTTTCTTCCTCTTTCAAAGCACTCGATGCTGTGTCCACCACGGTACCGGGTTTCTCCCAGCCCTTGAAGTCCTCCAACTTGAAGGTCGGTCGCCATAGCGGCGACGCAGCCTTCTTCTGCCGCTTGCTTTCATCTGTTCTGATGAGATCTCTCATGGCTCTGATGCTTCCAACCAACGAATAAAACTTCTCCATCTCTTGTTGTTGCTCATCTGCTTCAGTAGTAGTTGAGGTTGGAGTCGGTGATGTGGCTGGCGATGGCCTCTTTCTTCTGCCACTTCCTTTCTCCATTGCCTCGACTAAGAAATCTAAAGATCAGGGGAAGAAAGGGTTGTTGTTGGAATGCTCTATCTCTTCGTAGGACTAAGGATGGATAGTGGAAGCAGTGAACATATAAAAGAGAGGCCACTTCCAGAATTCCAAGCAAGTAGAAGCTCCGAAAAAGAAAGGCTGGTAGATTCCAGTGATGCCTTTTAATTTTCTTTTCTTTTAATTTATTTTTTATTTTAGAAAATAGCAATCGGAATCTCTTTCTACATCTTATGTACACATCAATATGCATTATTGAGGAGCTACAACAATGTGCTCTAAATTACAGCAGCCAAATACTATTCCTGAAGCTGCCAGTTTCTGTATTCATGTCATCATTGTTCTCATTTTAGTAGCATGTCAGTAATCAGATACAGATATGCAAAACATGTAGCCATGCTGAATTCATGGAGGTTATACATTCAAATACATCTGTCATACCTGAGTTTATTCCATATGGAATAAGATTATAAATTGAGAGAGAGAGAGAGAGAGAGAGAGAGTCAACACAAGGGTTCTTAGTGGGTCATTCTTTTTGCTATGGAGTGTGCTGTTCTTCAGTAGATTTAGGTAGGAGTTGTCATGTTGTTGGAAACATGATATATGCACTGTGATGTCATCCATCTGACAATCTCCTTCTCAAGGGAACACTCCATGATCCACTTGGTGGACCATTTAATCATTCAACACCACATCAAGAATATATATGTAATGTTATATATCAATATTGTTCTGGAACAACCAAGATTGATTAGTTTCCTTGCAGAGAGTTGACAGCCACAGCTAAGGCTCACATTTGATTGGCCACTTTCTACACTTGTCATTAAATCTACTATCCAATATATCTTATATCAGGTCTTGGCAAAATTTGTGATCCTCCTATGAATCAATTCTTATATTAGAATGCTTGCAGCCCTCAAACTAAAAAAGCTTTTCTTTCTGCATTATCATAAAACTAAACTAGATTAATTTAGCTTGAGGCTACTTCTAATGCTAGTGAGATGAGAAAGTTGGATATTATTAGCTCCAATTGTAATGCTAGAGCAGGAGCTGCTACATTAACATGCAGTAATATATAATTTTAGTTCATTGGACACTTAACTTTACTTGACTATCCTGTAAAAGAGGCTCACTGTTTCAGTCAATTCTTATTCCAAAGTTTTAAATTATAGTTGAAATAGTTATTTTTATTTTCACCTCTCTCCCAAAGCTACAGTGAACACATCAGAATATTTCAGCTCCAAAATTAATTCATTAAGAATTGAAAACCTCTTAAAATAATTTTTTTATATTAACATACTAGTTTTGGTTACAAGATTAACTTTTCAAATATTGAGAAAACCTCATCCAACAAATTTAAGGTTTTAACTTGTCCGACGAATCTCGTCTTTGTCACTTATCCTTTTCTAAAAAAATAAAAAATAAAAAAATAAAATTTTCCTACTTAAAAAATACTGCAACTAGAAAAAATAAAAATAAAGATAAAAAGACTATACTTGCTAAGATAATGTAGTCTACCCTTATCCTTGTGTTAGATGTCATATCAGGATGGAGTCAGCTTTTCAGATTTATTGATGCATGTTGCTTTTAATTACAATGATCAGTGAAAGTAGATTGTGCAGTGTTCCTTTTCAACCTTTTTCCTTCCTCCAATCATCAAACCCGACTGAGTATTCTTCATTATCTCTTCCTGCAGGCTCTCAATTCTTTCCATGGATCTACCAAGTGCTGTGCTGCTTTCTACATGTAATGTGGACTTCTGGTGATTGGAACTTTTTGTCCAACAAGGTTGTATTCATTTCTTTCTTGGCTTCAATTTGTTCCTGTAGTTGGATGCCCGGTCCTTGTAAAGGGACCAGGTCAATAGTGCTATCGAAACCTCTATCTTATTAAAACTATCTAATCAAGCTTATTTTGGATTTGGCTGCCATCTAATGATGCTAATATGTAACTATGGATCATCTTAAACTAGCATGAAAGTGCAGTCTAGAACTCAGATTTTGTTGTTGATTCTACTCATAATTTTTAGCACAAGTTGTTTTCATAACGATTAAGGGATATCATAATAACATTATCGGAGTAACGGAGGAGGAGAAAAAAAAAGAAAAATAATATTATGCATCTCGTTGTTTCTAACCAAGATATAATTGCATAATTAATAAAAATGTAGGATCTTTTATTTTGATATCATGTTTGAATCAATCATTCTCAATTCAATCTAATAATTGAATTGGTAAATTATATATATATATATATATATATATATATATATATATATAATTTTATTTTGATATTTCAAGATCTATGATTTTGTATTTAGATTCAAAAGACTTGTATTGTCCCTCTAATAAGGGATTGGATGTTGAATTTTTTTATTAGTGATAATTCTTTTGCTTGTGTGCTAAAAAAAATAGTTATTCAGATTTCATTATTTCAATCTTCCTCAGAGAGAAAAATGACTGGCTAGTGATGATCAACTTTCTCCCAACTTAACAAAGTAGAGCCTTAAAATCTCCATATCTTTGATTAACTTTAGCCCCCACCTACTAGGACTCCAAAATCACCTCTCTCTCTCTCTCTCTCTCTCTCTCTCTCTCTCTCTCAGTATGAAGTGATGACAGTGTTAAGTATGACTTGGTTCTCATGTTATCCAAACTTGATTATATGTATCTTGATATTAATTAGATATATTATGATGTATAACCATGATAATTGTTGTAATAATATCAGAACCATCTTTCAATTTCCTAATTTCAATTGACTTGATGCCATTGGTTATCAGTAGCAGAGATCATTCAATTTAGCATTAATGATAATAATCTATTTGGATTGAAATAACAGCTGATGATAAACCCATACAAACAACTGTTAGAAAGAACCTCACAGAAACCTCTCATGTCATTGCTGTTGTTATTTTGGATACAAAAAATCCTTTTTTTTTTTTTTTGAAGGATTCAATATACTAAACTGAATGATACAACAAAGCTGAGATCAAAACCATGATGAACAAATTCAAACCATTGAAGATATTGTAATCAATGTAAGAGCAGTTGAAATCAAAGCCATGATTGACACTCAGTACTTGCAGATGATAACATGAGCAGAGTTGCAGTAGCAACCAAACAAGTCTCTTACAGTACAGTGAAAACAAAATAATTCAGACAATTATATCCTATCTGGTGCCACCTTGATACTTGAAACTTGTCAAGAACAACTCATCAAGCAAAACCTGTCCTATTAATTTCCAGAACATGTATCAATGTGCAGGCAGTCTCCAATGAGCACCAGCTGATTTGTTTCTGAACATACAAGAATGATTTGTATCTTAATGCTCCACATGATATCTTAAACCCATGGTCAAACCACAGTTCATAGCCTGAATTGCAGCTTAAACATCACAAACATGAGAACTACAAAAGCCCATCACAATATATGTGATAAGCATCATGGGCCACTGAATCTTCATAAGAAAATTATAGTGCTTCAGTCCAAGATACCCATTGGAGCAACCAAACTCATCAAAGGCAATGTTAATTCTTCTGAAATCCAATGCTCTTAGGTACAGAACATTAAACTAATGCAATTGATTCTATCACATTACAGTGTACAATAATACAAATCTGTTGTTATGAGAACCATTGATTGTCACATTGGGAAATTAAACTGAGGTTAGTGGGGCAGAAAAATATGGTGGCTGATTTGTCTGCAAACATCAGAACACATGGAATTCCTACTCTGCTTGTTCATGTTATGTCATTGCTGCAAATCCTGTAGGTAATCACTCATTGAGGATGGTTTTTCCATTGCATATGCTCTTTGATCTTGATGTCTTCAGAAAAAAACATTAATACAAATTGATGTTGGTCCTCTCAAAAAAAGATAAATATTTCTTGTTTTCTTTGACAAAAAAAGAAAAATAAGCTTTTACATTGGTAATTTATGCACTTAGTTCTTCCCATTATAATCACTTTCATCATCGATGCATATTTTAACACTACTCATTGTCTTTACTTTAATACTTTTATTAAAGGTATTTGGAATAGAGATACAGTAAGTATATTTAGCATAAAAAGATTAAGAGTATTTAAATCTTTATCTATAATTATTGGTTTCATTATCTTAATCATCAAAAGCTATGAGGTTGCAGATGAGCTTTAAATGAGTTCATCTCAAGGAAGGGATGTCGTCAACGCTACGTTCGACTCACCATTTCTTCCCTTCTCCGTTCTGTAAGAAAACCAATAAAACATAAAACATAAAACATAAAACATAAAACAAAAACATACATAAATACATAAAAAGAAAGCCGGACAAAGGAAACAAAGCTCAACAAACTTTAATTGGCGGAAGTACTGCGCGCGTGCGGGTGCGGGTGAGGCGGTGGCGGCTGCGGCTGCGGCGGTGGTCCCAGTCGTTGTTCTCGAGGAACCGCTCCACCGCCGCCGCGCTGGGCCCCGCCACGTCCCTCCGCCACGGCGCCGTCGTGGCGGCGGCGGGCCCCTCCCCAGCGAGCCGCGCCGCCACGGTGTTCGTCGCGTTCACCAGCCGCAGCGGCCACCCCAGCGCCGCCAGCCGCTCGATCTTCCTCACCTGCTCCTCCGCCAGCCGACGCGTGTTCGACTTGATGGCCGCCACCGCTGCTTCGTACGCAGCCGCCGTCCGCCCGCCCCGACCCGTGAAGTACCCCCGAAACTCCGGCACCCCGATCGCCTTCCCTAGCCCCGGGTGCCGCTCCGCCTTCCCCTCCGCGGCGAAGTACCGCTTCAGTTCCTCTACCATCCCCTCCCCCACCATCTCGTCCACCCGCCGGTCGAGGTGCTCCGCGAGCACCGCCGCCTCCACGTGCACCCACAGCAGGCAGCACCGGTATCGCAGCCCCTCCACCTCTGTCACCCTCCGCCACCGCGCCCCGGCCGGGCCGAACGGGTCGCGACGGGGGTCGTACCGGTCCGAGAGCAGAGCGTGAATGAAGGAGTTGGACCCGCCGGCCAAGACGGGGACCCGGCCGCGGGCGGAGATGTCGCCAATGGCGCGTTCCGCCAAGGCCCGGAACCCCACCGGCGGGAGCTCCCCAGCCGCGGGGTCGAGCTCCCCGAGCAAATGGTGCGGCACGCCGCGCCTCTCCACGACGGGGATCTTGTTGGTGGTGATGTCGAGGCCTCGGTACACCTGAATCTTATCGGAGTTGACGACCTCTCCGGAGAACATGACGGACAAATCCACGGACAGCTTCGACTTCCCGGTGCCGGTGGCACCCATGATCACCACCACTCTCTGCTCCTCCTCCTTCCCTTGTCCATGGCTGCTATTACCACTGTATCCATTGCCACAATACCAGTCATGAAGGTGGTGGCTTCGTTGTGGTCGCAGCTCCACAGTAGTCGTCACGGCACGCTGCTGCTTCACGATAACCGGCGGCCTCTGCAGGTGAGGAAGAATTATAGCTCTGCTGCCACCTCCGTTGAGTAGAATTCTCATACAGGCAAGTCTCACCTTCAAAGCTATCACTAATAGCTCTGCTGCCACCTCCGTTGAGTAGAATTCTCATACAGGCAAGTATCACCTTCAAAGCTATCACTAATAGCTCTGCTATTAAAGAAGGCTTCTCTCTCTATCTCTCGATCTCTCTCTCGCTCTCTCTCATTCAAATGCTAGCAAAACCAGGACAAAAGGAGAGATGATGATTCATTCATTCATTCAATCTGTTCTTGTTTTCTCTTCTCATGAGCCCTTTATACTGAGAAGCCACTGTCCTTGGTGTAGCAACACCAATCTTCTTCATTATTTTAATCAGGTAGTATTATTACTATATGCACCTAACAAACCATACTACATGCCCTCAGTTCTCAAAGATGGAAGATGAGAATGCCCAGGAAGACTTGGCAGGTGAAATTGACTGCACCTGTAGGGACAAGAAATGGGAGTGGAAGGTCATAGAGAACCTGAATCAGAACATGCATGCATGGTGCTTGGGGATCAATACCACACACAGGCTTGTCTACCTTTTTTCTCAATCTAATTGTCTCGTTTTATTATATTAAATTATGTACAAGATGCTCATATAGACCTGTCAATCATGCAATAATATATCAACCATCAATATATCTAAACAGAGATTGACTTATCAGAGACAAGCTTTACACCATTGCATCATCTATACATTAATTCTCTGATAATATTAAATGCATGATGCTAATTTTTGCAACTAGTCATGTGAAATGATGTTTTCATGACTAGTAATTATGAAAGGTAAAAGTCACTCCATTGTGCAAATGGATTCTGTGACTCCACTTCTTGATATGATACAAGCCCTTATTCCTTTAGATGGTGAACAAGATGCTTGAGACATATGCCCAGAGGGAATCCACATTGATTTGAGGAAGATGGAAGAAGATTGCATGTTGACCATAACCCCTTCTTTTGTCAAAGGACAAGAACTTAAAGTGGACAAGTAATGGTTGGCCTCCAAACAAGTTGTGTTGCTTTGTTGGAGTCACTACTACCCTTCATTGTAGATTCTATGCAAACAAGATAAAAAAAGTTCCAATCCAATAGGAAATTGCACAAATTTTGCACCTAGCACTATGAACAAAATAAGGATCATTTGAAGAGTTTGTGCTTTGTTAGTAATATGGTTTTGAGCAAGAAATGTAGAGCAAAATCTGATTGAGCAATCCATAAAACATAGAAGAAATGCTAAAGAAATTAGTGAAATGTACCATTGTTAATAATCAAATGTGCTTCTTTTATTCTTTAAATTAGAATTGCAACACTTTCTAGAAAATCCAATTATTTCATCAAATGATTTGTGTTAATTATCTGCTTTCTAATTAGAACTACAACACACTAACTTTTGCAAGTTTTATTGTCATTTGTCGCAAGATTTCCGGACTCAAGTCATCACAAATATTTAATATAAGATTTAATTATGAAATTTACATCAGTAATAATAAAATTCTAATCCAAAATGGCTTTGACATTTATTTGATGAAGGGATGTTTGTAGAAAGATTTATCAAGTACAATAGCATGCTTATGTGTAACATACACTTTGTCATGTGTCTTTCTTTGTTTGCACTTCATGCCAATTGTAAGCACAGTATGTTTAATACATTCCTGAGTGGTGACTGCTTAAGCCAAAATAATACTTGAAAACTTTTGCCATCCATCCTAGATTATTGGAGCTGATAGTGCCACATACTTTATTTAATGTGTGAATTGATGATAACTTATTTAAGATTATGAGCTAAGCTTGAATTGTATTGTGGACTATGGATAACATACAAATATTGTTGGTTGTCATTCTTATCTATTTACACAATGCATTCATATGTACTTCAATGTCAAGGGAAAGGAATCTTAGTCTAATTAAAATCAATCCATATGGAAGCATGTTGATTAATTAGGATCCTATCAATCAAATCCAAGCAACTTGCAACACTAGACCAAGGTCATCTGATATAGACTTCAACCTAAGTCATTATGATATCATTGGATTTGATATATACCTCAAGTTAAGTTATGTGATATAGACTTCATCTTTATAACAATGTCCTTTTTATTTTATTGGACATGCCGATGTTAGTAGTGCTCATAGCGGGTCAAGAGACATGCTTTTACAATCTTCTTCTTTATGCTGTTTCTCACATCCCATGATTCTTCTCGTTATGAAACATATACTCTAAAGATGATTGAATTTTAGTTTTCTAATATTTTGTTAGTCTACTAGCTTGAAAATTTATAACTTGAGTAATTCTGTACTGAAGTATTGTGTTGAACTTACAATTGAATTAAAAAAAAGGTTTATTCTTTGATGATTTGTTATAAGCCTTAGTAGTGATACTTGATCGTGAGTATTTTTCTTCAAACAAGACATATGTGCAATGTGCATATAGGTTAGAATAATACACAAAAGGAAGTGCAATTGTAATTGTTACTGTACCTATGCATGTTTGAGAAATGTATTACTAGAGTTTATAAATCACAACAAAAGTTCATACTTAGTCAAACAATCTAGTGAAAAAATTTCATTGCAGCAAACAAAACTACAAATATAGACATAATAAAGATCATAAAATCTTAGCGATGTTATCATTGTCGTTATGGATGCAGGGTATTACTATGCTTAATAAACCGCTGCAACTTAAAATTCCTAGTTAAAGAAAGCTATGATCATTGGAAACTATTGTTGTGTTACAAAAATTCTAGCCCAAGAATTACTGATTATTAACAGTAAAATCCTAGCCCAAGATATAAAATACTTCGATTAGAAATTACAATACTAGATGTCTATTTATGCAGTTGTCAGAATGATAGAAATGAGTTGAGTTAATTCTATTTGTGAATCATGGAAACTCAATATATTTCTATCCCTGTAAATTGTTTACTGTAGTGGGATAAGACTGCAATCTGAAAGGTCTATGAACACCTAATATTTGGCAACCCACAGCTAGCTTAGCCAATGTTAGGTTAATTATAAGAGTATGGACAAAATATATTTGCATATATATATGTATAATGCCAAGGACAGTAATTATCCAAAGAATGTCTTCTTCCTTAGCCACACAACTCACTCAAATCTAATAATGTTATTTTCACTAGGTGTCACAGTAAGCTCGTCATCCAGATTGTTGGCTTGTTCCTGAGTTGAAGGTTGGCAATTAAAATAGCTGCTAAGAGTGAATACAATACCTACAGATGTAGTGGTTAGGCTGGGGTTTATTATTCTTGCATGCACGTCCATGGCTGTGAGATGTTGGTCCTCACTTCATGGAAAATCATCACAGATGAATCCAATGTTCTTTGTGATGGGGTTAGGTTGGATTACTGCACTCCTGACAGTGATAGCATCAGCAACTTGAACTTGTTTTTGCTTGGATACCCTACCAAGACTTGGCTGCTTGCTTGCACTCAGCATGAGAGAGATGCATTAGTTTTGTTTCTTCAAGTCTGAGAAGATGCCCATGCAGCACAAGGAAAGGGCAGGAGACTTGAAAGTGATGAAAGAGGAAGGCTGCATGAACTCTTGGATCTGCACTCGTGTATGTGCATTAGTTTCTTCTGTCCAATAATTAAGATTGCATGCATCCACCAAATAAAACATGAATTCTCCTTGTTTCAGCTAAGCACTGTGTCTATGACACCAAACATATCTAAGATTCTGTAACACCAGCTGGCTGAGTGTATCCACCATGTCTTGTTAGGCTTACACTCCACAAGAAGAGTCTCTTTAAGATAATCTTAGGATTATGATGCAATGGGATTGAATGATTATGGTATGATAGAAGAAAAAGACACCGTACTTTGTATATTACATCCACCGCATTCATTGATGCAATTATACTTCGATAGAAGAAAATGATTGATAAGAATAATTAAGCCAATTTTTTGGGCTGGAGGAATGCAAAAGGTACTTTCAAATGCAAGGAAAAATAAAGCAGCAGTAGAGATATGATAGCTCGACTATAGAAAAACTAGATAAATTGGTATGTGAAAGTACATATAGAGCCAACCATAAGTAGAGTAAGTGAACTGTCATGGGCTTGTATTTGTCTTATGCCCATGTAAAGGCCTCACCTTCGGCAAGTTGGTGGATTCATAACTACAAATCAAATTATGAAAAGATTCAGCCATTTTGTGGGGAAAATAAATCGACCCTGATGAAATATAGATGCATGAAATTGAAAGCCAAATAGGAGATTCACTTGATAGAGTATGTTTGATCATCTCAGTTGCCATGTTACCATTAAATCAAATTGGAAAGGTCCATATCAAGTATATCTTCCCTAATCCCTCAACCATTACAGCTTAGTAAACTGTGGAGAACTGCAGTTTACTGGGAATGTCTCTTCCTAATTGCAGTGGCGCTGAACACTGGAGAAAACAAGCTCCCGTAGTAAAACCTTTTATTATCCATATTACCATATGGTTAAGATAGATGCATTGCATGCATCTATTTTAGCTGCAGCTTTTATCTATCTTAACATTCTATCTTAAATGGGTTTATCTATCTTAATATTCTATATACATTCTCTTTTCAGTGATAGCAACTTTCTATGTACATTGTTGCTTAATTATCTAATATTCAGATCCATAAAACATCATGAAGTTGGTTTGATAATTATCTAACAGCAGTTTTCACCTAGCAAAGTATATGATTCAAATAAATTGGGCTTTCCTTCACAACTGGCCTCAGCTCATTGTTTGACCAATAGGCAGATTCTTCCCCAATACACACCTTTCAAAACCTCACAGTCTTGTCAAGTGGAGAGAACCTGGTTCTCCAAGCAGGGGACCTCTGCTACAATTCAAGGCATGCATGTGCAAGCCACAAGTGCCACCTCTCAAGCTCCTGCAATCCCCAGCAGTCAGCAGTAGAGAAGTTTGGACACATCTGCAGGTACATGACTGAAGTCTGAAGGTCTTGTTCAATTAATGCCTTCTCTTATTTTAACTTCAATCTTTGGAATCTTCACAACTTGAAACTGGAGTGTGTGATGGCAGCTATATATATTGTTTGAAGAACAAAAGAAGACAAGCAGGGTTTTGTTTTGCATTTCTTCTGTTGACAATGGAGGAGGAACCAGGTGACTACATGCCCAAGAATGCTGTCATGAACTTAAGCTGTGTTTGACTTGCTCCATGCATGTGCTGTTTCTTCATTATTACATAGCTCAGGAATTCATTACCCTTGTTTCCTGCATGCTTTGAGCTTTTCTTAATGAACTCAACTATGAAACATACATTGACTGGTTCTTCTTTGGAATGGTTCAAGTGCTTTGACTCCACTGTTGAATCTGGTCCCACTAAAATCCCAACCTCAGTATAATGCAGATGAGGTCTAGGAATATTAACTTTTATTTTTAGGAACATCCTCAAAACAGTCAAGTCATGGGTTTCATATATTTTATTATTGTTGATCATATTCAAGTTGAACTGATTTGTCAGAGTTGAACTTTGTCCTTTGGCTATTTGGACTCACAAGCATTCTAATATATTTAAATCCACATTTTGAAGTGCTCCATCAATGGCAACTGGGTTTCTTGGTGTATGATCTCCCCTAATCTTATGTCTTCTCTGTAGTCTACTAATTGATCTTTAAGACTCACAAATGGCATGCCTCTTAACTTGCACCAAAAGATCATCCTCAGGATGTTGCTTCTGCTAACAAGTATATAGATAATACTGTCAACCACAAAGATCCAATCAAGACCTCCACTTGGTTAGAGCCTGCCCAGGAGGGGAGCTTTCTTGCAGCCGCTGGGCGCACCTTATGAGTCCTCTCACAATCTTTTTGCATTCTTTCTCGTATAACTCATCACTGGCATCTGTAACCAAAAGTTAGCCACCTGCAGAAAGAAGCCTGCAACACACTGCCAAACATGTACCAGTGCAGTGCCAAAAGAGCCTACATATGCCCTCTGCCCCACTCCAGCTTTCAACAGTAGTGGACTACCCTATGCATCACATAGCATACAAAGGAGTACCGGAGGCAGTGAGCGCAGTGAGTGGTAACTTGTCACCTTCATCTCACTTCCTTCTTATTGGAGTCATCTAAGTTTCACACACATGAGAGACAAGAACACATGTTTCTGCTTCATTTAATTGTTGGCTGTGCAGGGTCTTAATTGCTGAAGAGCTTCATAGAAATGAGGGAGGGTGGTTCGGCTTCGAACTTGGCGGTCGTTGAGAGGAAGGAGACGCGGAGGAAACCTGGGGGATGCATCGGCGTCTTCTTCCAGCTGTTTGACTGGAAGAAGAAGAAGCAGTTCCCCAAGAAACTGTTCCCTCCTGGTACCTGCATTTGCCACCCTTCCATTGTAGCTGTTCGTCTCTTCACTTGTTGCTTATTGTTCCATTGCAGTCACTGCTGCAAAGCGGGTGTTGAGGAGGATTGGTGGGCATGAGAAGCTGACTGTGGCCAAGCACTTGCTGGTACTTCTCCATCACATTGTTGTGCCCTGTTGTCACTGTTGTGAGTTTGCTTGAAATCTTTTGCTTGCATCAAGGTTCCACAAGAGAATAGTGGAGGCATTGCGGCGGTGAAGAGAGCGGAGACTGGCAGATCATGTTCTTCTCAAGATAGTCTAGCTACAGGAATGTGTACTCCCGGCTTGGTGGCCAGGTTGATGGGTCTCGAGTCCATGCCCGCTGCTCACCATGACAACACAAGACATGCTTTGACTTCGGATTTCGACGACGTCCAGTGTCTGAAAGTTGGTTCAAGGCCTCAGAAGTTGCCGAAGACAGGGAGATTCTTGAAGAACCGGCGGGCTACCGGAAACGCCAGCCGGATCGGTTCAGACGCTTTGCAGCTCAACATGAGCTTGGAGCAGCAGCGCAAGCTCGCTCTGCTGTTGAAGAGCCAAAGGACGCCCTCGAAGAGGAAGAAAGCCCGGCTTGTGGAGGTTGCTACCAAGATCTTGGAACCGGGTTTGCAGTCCAGGAACCGGTTGAAATTTGGCATCACCGGTGTGGGCATTTCGTCGAACATTGCAGAAGGTTCTGACGCTCCCTTCCTGTCAAAGAAACCTGATGAACCCTTGTGCTATGATTTCCTCCTCGGCTCCTGCACGAGCTGTGGCAACTTGGTGGAAGTGGTCGACTTGAGGTCAACTGACAATGCTGCACAAGGACTTGATCATGGACATGGTGCTTTGGACTCCGACTATGGATCAGCATCATCATTACCATCATCATCTTGTGATACAGCTGTGCTGGGAAGTGAGAAAAGAGTAAGAACACTTCCAATTCGAGGGGAAGATATTAAGAGGAGTTCTTCACTGATTACTGCAAAAGGTCAGAGCAGAGCAACACATTTGGCTCTTGAAGCTAAGACTAATAGTGTTCACAGCAGGGATAGGAAATGCAGTGTAAGAAATGAACAGGATATGTGCAGGATGCATGAGAGTATTGCTCCCAAGCAGAACAATTGGAGGCTGAGTCAGTCAACATTGTCAAATGAAAATTTGGTCTCAGGGTCTAGGCAGCATAGTCGGCAGTGCAACACAAGAGGCTCGAATGCGGTGATTGGGACGAAAAAGTTTGCTGCTGCCAACAAAAGCTTCGAGAGTCGGACGCTTGCAAATTGCAGAACTAGAGCATCAAAGAAAAATGTAATGAAGCTGGGAAAATGTGATCTTGATCAGGATAACATGGTTCCTAAAGGAAGACCTATGAGTAATGGAGCCTTCATGAAGCAAAGAAATCTTAAAAAAGAGTTGGTGAAGTCCAAAATTTCAGGATCGATTGGTAACCACCTTAGAAATCGGACTAGCATTAGAAGTGATTCACAAGAAGATGCGAAAGCTGGTGGTCGCAGTAGAAAAACGAATAGTACAAGTCCTTCGATGCTTAATTCACGAACACGGCAAGTATCAGGGTCTACATCCCATCAAAATAAGGTTGAGAGGAGCAAGGCCTTCAATGAGCTCACTGGTTGCACTTCTCCAAAGGAACTTGTATTAAGTCAAGAGAGTGAAAAATTGTCTTCACAAAATGAAATAGAAGAAGATGCATTGTTTGCTTATCTTGAAGATAAAATAACAGATCTGTCCTGTTTGGATGAGAACAACTTGCAGGCAGATCATTATTTTCCAGGAATATCTTCTCTTTCAATTCTAGAAAGGATGATATCTACACTACTGAATAGAGGGTCCTCATCTCCAAAGAATACTGATAGAGTGAAAAATAACTTACATTTATCTTGCATCGATTCTTCTGACGATGCCATCTTTGATGGACAAAGAGCAAAAACAACTGAAAAAGTTCAGGCAAGTTACAATTATTTGGATATTCAAGTTAATTTTCAGACTGGCATTAAGCTTTCAAATTTTCTGTTTTGTGCATTTGCATGACTTCATAATCACAAATGGTTCATAGACAAAAATTCAAACTAATTGCATTAAACAGTTGCAATTTGCTAGATCTTTGCTGAAAAATACTACATGTCAACCAGAATCTGCAAGAATAAATTTATGCATTATATTTATTATTATATCTTCAATGATTTCATATTTCTCTGAATATGTAGCATATTGTGAATAATGTCTTATCAAATTTTGAGTTAACTTTACTTAATTATCTTTGTTTAAAAAATTTGTAGTCAGAGATTTTAGAAACAGTGTTTAGAATAACAATAAACTTCACAAACTCTCTTTCTCTCTCTCGAAAGACATGTTGTTTTTGTATTTGAGTGGACTGCAGCATCATAGATCCAGTAAATATAGAGAGATGCAACTTGCAAGAAGCCCTTAATTTTGAAACAACTAGTACACTATGTGCAGGAACTATATCACTCTTAGGAGGATTTTTCCTGATTCAGATAAATTTTTTTGATTTGTTCTGTCAAAAAATAAAGATCAGATTTCTATTCTAAGAAAAGGACCAACTATAACTTCTAAGTTCTGTACTGATGCATCTATGGGGCTTCAGGTTAGCTTTGAAGTTTTCAAGGACATGTCTCCAACAAAGGGAACAATATAATACAGAATAGACAAAAAAGAATATAAATAAATATGAACTAAGTAGTCAACATGGTTGAACTTCGCACATGCAGCTGTATGAAAGGAAATGTAGACTTTGTATACTGCTGAATTGAGAAAATTAGGAGCTCTAAGTGTCATATACTTGAATTTATGAAAGCATAGACAAGGTATATATAAGCTATATATTATATAATGCACTTAATTTATCTAATGTAAAAATAAACTGAAACACAAGATGTGCATTTCTCTGTTAAAGACTTTTGTCAGTGCAGTTTCAGTTTGGAATCAAGAATTTCAAACTAAACTTCATACTTTGTTGACAGAAAAGGCCTTATTTTTCACATCATTATAAATGTTTCACATTGTTGTGTTTATCTTATGGTAGCAAAGTACTATCTGGATGTAGTGTCACAAAATTGTTCTTGAGATGCATCATTTTGGTTGTCTTTTCTTCAGGTAGGTGTAAAATCCAGAACAAGTGCTGTATGTTCAACTAGCTGTGACGATCATCCCAACCTTATGACAGCACTTGAAGTTTCTCTCCCCACTGACGGTTGCTTCTGCTGGGATCTCAGTTGTACATCAGGTGAAAATCTCTCACATCTGCTTTGGCTTCGATTTGTGTTAATGTATATTCTTTCCTAATTAACAATCTAACTCTGATGTATGGGTGTTAGTTTCTGACTGATTCGTATAATTTCAATGAAGCATGTGCGTTATGATGCCAATTGATTGTTCATATTTGTTTTAGACTTGAACATACTTGTAGGAAATTCATCTTGTCTGCCCTCAGATAGTCATCGATCAAATGTCCTGATAGATTATTCTGCGTTCCATTTTTCTCTAGGATGCAAACCTAACTACGAATCCTCAGAGAGATTCTGCAACAAAACACAAGAAAGAGAGCAAGAAAACAATGACTCTTCACTAACACTGCTTCTCTTGGAGGGGAATCCACTAAGACTACTACTCTTGGACTGCATGATGGAGTGTCTGGATTCATTATACAGCTGCTTCTACTATACTGGTTGCAATTCCTGGTTTAGGTCTCAAATGTTTCTAAGCAAGAACAGGTTGGCAAAGTCGATCGAAGAGGAGATCATAAGGTGGCATCATATGGCCGGCAAGAGCCTGACTGAGCTTATCGAGCAGGACGTGCAACATCCGAGCTCAGATTGGCCATCATCCAAGCTCGGAGGATCAGCCGAGGTAAGTGAAGAAATCGAAGAAGACTTACTAGAGTTAATGATAGATGAATTGGTCATAGATTTTTGCCAATACTGAATACAGTCAGAATCCGATCACGTTCCAAATCATCATGTATTATCGGATGATGATGCATGCCGATGCGGCCAACATGCTGTATGTACGATATCACGGAAAAAATAATCTCATTTACCTAGAAAAAAGATGATCAGATGTTTGCTATGTCAATTCTAATAAAAGTTGAAGCAGGTCCTCTTTCTGGTGCTAAGAGTTACTCCTAGACAAGCTCGAACATATGATTTAGAACTGAAAGCTTGCATGTGTATTAGAATACTCCATTGTTTAATGGGTACATGGATTTCATAGAGGAAGCCATTTCTTCTGATAGGGAAGAAGAAAAACTAGCTTCTCATGGTTCAAGTTCATGTATATGAACAAAATATAAGTTAGTTTATAGTTCATGATCTGCACACATTATATAGTTCAGCTTCATCAGATGCTTCCCAAACAGTTATAACTCTCACCCAAAATAAAGCATCAGTTATCACACTCTCTCTTCCCAATCAGTTGAGTTAAACTGTGATATTAGCACGAGAAATCTCTCTCTCTCTCTTGCTGTCTTGTGTGTGTTGGACATGGAAGGCACACGTCTTCCACACCATTGAATCCCTTAACCAGACCTCAGCTCGATTCCATTGCTTCCTCTAAATACCTTCTCCTTCCATGGTTGAAAGTAATCGAACTGGTTACAGATTAGGATAGACGGAAGAGATGATGGAAGGCTCAAAGATTGCGAGCAGCAACCGGAGGTGCTCCCGGGAGTGCACTGTCGGCATGGCATCTCTTCTTTGGTGTCTCTCCCTCTCCACCGTCATCATCGGGTCGCTCGTAAGCCTCCATTTTGCGAGATCCCGACCGGGTATCATTCGGCCTCCCTACTCCTTTTCTTCAGGCATCTGCACCAGCGACGAGGAGCTGATGCGGCGTGCATCGGAGGTAACAAGTATAAAGTCAACCAGAGAAGACAAAAGATTCTGATGGTTGCCAAGAATTGAGAACTTGGTCAACGCTTCTATTATTGTAATAACCACATTATACTCTTCCTTTTCTCTTTTAATAGGGACCTAAATTGACTTTTGTTTAATTTTCAAGATCAATGTTCAGCAATTCCAATACTATTCCTGTATTCCGCTCTTCAATTCCCCACCGTCTACCACCACCTCACCGCCTCCAGCCTCAGCTTCGTCGGCTCGTTCGACGACGCCAGCAAGGCCGGCTGAGGCCGCTACAGCCCGCGGATGCACCCCATCGTCACCCTCGCGGACCGCCGCTACTTCCCGGTGTTCCGGGAGCACTGCCGCCCTCCCTGCTACGTCAACGAGCACTACCTGCCCACGCTGGTGACTAAGCTCTTCCCGGGGCTCAACTCCAACAGGAGCCTCACATGGGTCGACTGGTCTCGGGGTGGCGCACACCCTGCGACCTACCGGCGCAGGGATGTCTCCGTGGGGCTGATGGAGAGGACGAGGAATGACTACAGTAACAACACTACTAATACTACCACCATGTGCTTCCTGTTTGCGAGGAAGTTGGAGGCCGCTGGAGTGGCGCCGTTGCTGCAGATAGCTGGTGCTGCCATGCATCTCAGGGACTTAAAAGTTGGTGAGGGTTTACTGGTTTCTTAGTTTGATGGGCTAATCAACTTGATTTAAATCCACTATTGCTGCAGATGCTTGATGTAGAAGCTGAAGCCGAAAGAACTCAGCTTCCAAGGCGCATCCGAGAGAGGTGATCGGAGGTTTCCAATTGGGGGTGGAGGGCTTTGGCGCCATAGCCAAATAACATGAACGAGGAGTTCCAAAGAAATGAATGGAGCTGCCTTCGGATCTGATATCAGATTGGACCATAGATCAAACTTAAAAGCAGATCATAGCCCATCCACGTACACAAGAACACAGGCGACACAGGAAGATAGTTGATGTGGCGGCCTCGAAGGACCATATATTGGTGGAGCGGATGTGTGATCGGCTCCGAGCTTGGTGGAGGGAGAATGAATAGTCAAACTATAGTTTGACTTTAATTTAATTTTATTATATTTTATTTAAAATGTGAGGGAGGACCAAAATAAAGGGAAGGCAGCACTCTCAGTAAATAGAATATTTAATAGGGTTTTAAAAGATTACTATGGTAAAATTAGGACATTTTCTTACATATTTGTCTCTCAAATCTTACAAAATTAGCATATTAATACCTTAGATTTAGTATGATTGTTCCAAATATTAATTAAATATGATGCTGTATACCAAATATATATAGTGTAATTAAAATCAGTTAGATAAACATATCTAATCATCTCTAATTATTTTTAAAAAAAATTTATTACTATATATATATATGATGCTCAAGTAAACTTAAGGTTGAAACATATCACTTGTACAATAATGTATTAACTAATCAGATGTAATCATCTCAAGTCAATTTTGCTAATACATATGAAGCTATATGTATTGACTAAATCTTATGCATTGGATTTATCCTTTTGTTTATGTATTTATTTATTTAAAAATGCACCAGCATGAGCATACAGAACTTTTCTAAAGATAATAAATCAAAATAAGAACTTTGACCAACAGAGAAATTATAAAGAAAACAAAAAATTGGAATAAATATTTGAGTGACAAACTGAGTATACTCAACATACAACCAATGGATGAATGTTAAATAATCTCCACAATGCTGTTGTGAAAGCCGAGGTTAAAACCATACATGGCTGATGTGGCTAACAACAGTTGCTTTTAGGCTCCAAACATCTATGTGAAGAGATCTCACACCACTAAAACTTTGAGAGAACAAGCCTCACTCATTTACCCATCTACATATACATGAAAAAACTTGCCTGATAATAATTTCATTCCATGCAAGGAATACAAAATGAGAACAAGCCACACACCAATCGAACGAGCGCGAAATAGTACTGCCGTCCAAAGGAGGGATGCTTTTTTCGACATTCAAATTCATTTTGAAGAGGATGGGTTGACAAGAGAAAGAATGCACTGTGCGATATCAGATGCAGCATCAGGACGTGCAGCACTCAGTGCCCTCTCGGACATCTCAGCCATGAGACTTTCATTTCCTGCAAAATTCAGTATAAAACATTGTAAATTTTGCATGCCTCCCAAATGCAACATGACAAAGTATCTTAGTCAAGACCATAGTGAGTAATTATAGGTTCAGTTTTGAGTCGTACTCCTTTTTTCTTTAAATCTTTTGCAGCTTTTTCAACCACATGATTACCCTGAGGTAGCCCTAAACGCATCATATCCAACTAGGAAATCCAGTTAGCAATGATGATTATGGAGCTTTTGGTTTCCTGTCCTATTTTACGTCAAATAATATATGTCTTAAACATGTTACAGGTTTGTTGGAAGACCATAATCATAGGCTGTTTACTGCTCTATAGTAGTGGTCTAAAGTTCACGAATTTGTGATCATGTACTGATTATTTTAGAATGTACTTCCTTTTGTCATATAAGGTATCTACTTTTGTTGCTTTTAGTGTATATTCTTCACTCCTAACTCCTACTTCCTCTTCTCCCTACAATTGTTCCTCTTTGACATGTGTCTCGTCCATGAGGTTGCATCGATGATAGTAAGGGCATAAGAATGCATTAAAAAGATTTTCTTCAGCTAAGAAAAGTAAATGAGCTTTTATTTATGAGAATATAGAGAGTTCTTGAAAATTCATGGGTAAATGACCCCTCGTATGTTGGATATCAGATACATAAATCATAAAATCCTTGCATGTATATCAATTTTCAACAGGATACCATAACAAATAGCTCATATACATATGAAATTCACAAAGAATTTCAACTATTGACAAATACCATATTGGTTTTGTTGCTATCAATGAAAAACATCTCCCTAGCTAACTAACTGCCACTGCAAGGATAAAATCATGTGGAGATCCATTAGTAGTCTTTCCATCAGTTAATTTCTGCATCCTTTGACTTCTCATGCATTTAGAAAACCCATAAGAAGCCTATAAAATCAGCAATTCCTGGCATAATTTGCTACTTCATCAAGATTTGATAGTTTAGATTCTTCAGCATAGTTTGATCAACAGTTGCAGGGACCAAGGCCAATCAGTCATAACTTTGAATCAAATGCTCGAGAACAATGATAGCAAAAAGTTTAACAAAAGCATAGAGAATCCTAGTACTAAAAATTACATCTTACAATCAGTGATAAATATCCATTCCTAATCCTACTCACTTAAGATACTTTATCTAAACTGATTTTCTACAAGAAAACTTTATCTGCAGCACTCTACAAGAAAAAATTATCTGCAGCACCAATGAAGCTCAAATTATACCATATCATGCTTCACATTTGTCCTTCCATATCAACTTAAAGTTGCTCTTCCAAATTTCTCTTACCATGACAATATTCCAATTTGACTTTATTTTTTTTATTGATACGGATATATAGACTTTGTTTGCTGTGGCAAGCATGCATAAGGACATGCTCTGGAAGCAGCAAATGCTTCAAGGGTATGTCCTTGACTCTTGACAAAAGTTTCCATATATACAGATGAAACATTGCCTACAAAAGAAACATAATATATTGCAAAGGAAAAACAGAAAAGGCCTATACTCATGAGATCTGGGGTCAGCTAAGATCTATTGTTCATGAGATCTAAAGTTTTACGCTGGATGTCAGTTACCTTTCACAACCCTCCACCTTTTTCATTCGAACTTGGGATTAGAGCTATGTGCATGTATTAGACTAATAAAACCCTAAACTTGACTATCCATAAATAGGACTTAAGAAAAAAAAGGACTGTAAAAATGGACTGTAATAGATGTATGACTATCAAAGGGTTTCTTCCAAGGGGTAATGAATCAACTATTAGCACATAATCTGTAAAGTGTCTATATGGTTCAAGATCTTTACCACATTAGAGCCATTGTTACTAGTCGGCTTCAGATAAAAAATGAATCTACTACACTTGAATGGAGGGCATTGTAAACATATATAGTTTTTGTAATCAGCCACAAAGCAGATGAAGGTTGAGAAAAGATCACTACATACCTAAAACATCATCAATTGCCTCTTCGAGACTACTAGAATCAAGCTCATCTTCTGTAAGGACCTTTGATCCTGCTATGTCTGCCATAATGTATGCATTCTTTGTTTGATGATCATCTGCAGCATTAGGTAATGGTACCTAGTACAAAGAAAAAGTGGATGAGAAAAAAATAT